TGTGTTGTGTGTGTTTTGTGTGTTGAGGTTGTGTTGTGTGTGTGTGTGTGTGTGTGTGTGTGTGTGTGTGTGTGTGTGTGTGTGAGGAAGTCCGCAGATTGGTCCAAACCGGATAAGCATGACATGGGACCTTTAAGTATTAATTAATTATGTCTTTATGTCCATTTATTGTTTTTTTAAATATATATCCTTCGGAGAGTGTGGGAATTTCACCAAGAAATCGAGATAAATCTGTAAATCTGAAAGGGAGATTAACCTGTAAAGTATTTGTTAATAATATTTTGTATAATTTATCTGAATCTTTAAATTAACCTAAGTTATGGAAAACATGTAGAGGAGTTAAAAGTAAAATATTTAGTGTTAGGTAGCAGAAAAAGGTATCTCAACTTGTACTAAATTACAATACTGGAGTATATGTATTTGTTAGTTTCCACTACTGTTTAATACAAGTTTAGCAGAAGCTTTCAGGTGATGAAAGGCATTTTCTGTGGATTTGAAAACAGCAAATCTATTTCAGAGATGATTCTGCTGGTTGTGTTTAGTGGCTTGGTGTTTTTTCAGACACACGTACCTCGTCTAGTCTTTCCTCACTGGTTGCTCTTTCATAATCCACTGTCATTTCCTTGAACAGCTCACCTGCAAACACACACATTCTTAACATCTAATACAAAGGCAGAGTGACTTCCCATGATGAAGTGCACGAGGTCTTCATCGTACCAGGAGTTTCCTCTGAGTCTGCAGCGTCAATCTTGTCCATGAGGTCGTTGGAGTTCCACTTGGTGATTTCCTTCGGCAGGGCGTCTTCGTTGTCTGACAGATCCTCTGCAGGGGCGACACAACATAAACCATCATCAAATCGTTGTCAGTACACCAACAGTATCATTTATTTATCAGGGTTAACATGGTCGATTGACTTTTTAGTTTGACTTTTAAACAGAGGACCAACGTACAGGACATTTGCTAAGCTTTAGTGTTTTATTAATTAAATCAATAAATATTTATAAATATTTGATGTAATGCAAATAAAAGTTACGCTGGGTATCTTAATGTATAAAGTATAACACTGATGGTTATCCATGGCAAGTAAGCCCATGTTATTTTGGTGTCAGTGGCCCAGAAGTGGTGTGGTTTAATAACCATAATGCAAGTTTCAAAAACAAACGTATCTTCTAAGCCAGGGGTTCCCAACCATTTTTCCCAAGAGCCCCCCCAAATGACTCCTGTTTGAAGTTTCCCCCCCCCACCCAAGCATTTGAGTCTCAAAAATGCTACTTTGCTTTTGCCAATGTGTTTATGTGGATTCAAAAGTCTTAAATAATCTACAAAATGGAGGAGACCAATCTGATCGGAGCAACTGTGACAGATAATCTGAAACGGGCATGGACAATGACTGTTTTAAAAATGTGCTTATCCAGACAAGCCGGTTTGGACACTTTACGGGCAGGAGAAACATTTCTATTAAAGAAAGAATTATACATTTCTGTCTTTTTATGCCTTTAATAGCTACTAACTTGAATTGTTATTCAAATGAATTAATCAATAATTTTGTATATTGTATTGTAATGTATAGACAAGGCTTGTTGTGACAATCATGTATTGCGTTACAATTATATGTAAAAAAAAAAAGAATAATAAAAAGGAAGAAAAAAAAAGTCTAAATATGATATTGGGCATCAAATCATCTGAGGCCTGGCGCCCCCCCTGCGATCTTTGGCACCCCCCCCCTTTCCATTATTCTAAGCAATTACCTACCGAGCAGAAGTTTAATCTAGTGTTTATAATTCAGATTTACACAAATATATGACTGGACTGTTTTATCCATTCACTCCATTCATGTGTTCATTAAAAAGGCTTAGGATATCATTTTATATTTTATTGAATTAAATGCCGGTAGCTTCATTTCGAAAGAAACAGGCAGCCAGCCTCCTGTTAACTTAAATCTGTGTTAATAGATTCAAAATCTAATCTGAAACTGAATGTATGAATGTCATGTAATGCTATTTACTCCCACTGTAGAAATACTACAAATAAATAACACAAAAGAAATAGAAATCATTTTATTGCATAGAGACTTGCTTTGTGAGGAGCAGGTTGCAGCCAGACGACTTCTGTTATTAAATGTTTGACTTTCTATGAAACATATCGGCCTGTACACAGATCAACAAGACTTTTTATTTTCTCACTCCATTCATTTGTTTTATTTATAAAACATGAATATCAACCTGGTTATAAACTGGATAAGATATAAAGTGTGAAGGCATTGAGGTATTTCTATTTCATTAAATGGATTCACTTTCAATAATCAATAAATAACAATACAGGCCAGCTTGACTTGAAAGTTGTGCAGCCGTTTGATTATGACATGTGTAACTGTAACAGACACTTTATTTGTTGGGGTATAAGTACTAAGCTTCAGAAGACCAGACACACTGAATATGGCATCTACTCCTGAAGCTTTCATTTATTCATTTGCACTAAAAACAAATAAATAAACCTACTTTACAAGTTGTGTAATATAGCATTACTGCAGGAGGAAGAGGACCATACATCAACTTTAAAATAGGAAACATGTACTCATTTATCACAGTCATGACTTTAGTCCAGACTTTTATATATATGCTCGTTTGATCAAATGTAAAGTGCTTTAACTTCAGGCCCCCAACAATCCAAACAAACACAAATACTGGAAGGCAAAATAAATGATCAGATGTCAACTCAGTCAAATGATTGAATTTCAGTTACTCACAAAGACATGAGCAGAAATGTATTCAACGAAACATGTGCAGCATAATCAGAAGCAATAATAACCGACAGCACAGATTGTATTCTTGTATCATCATGACTACATGTTTGTACAAACACTGGTAGGGGTGGGGGGGCTTTTATTGTTTGAATGCATCATGAACTGTTAGGGAATGTGTGTGTGTGTGTGTGTGTGTGTGTGTGTGTGTGTGTGTGTGTGTGTGTGTGTGTGTGTGTGTGTGTGTGTGTGTGTGTGTGTGAACGATGATGAAGAAACGGGAGTGTGTTGGTGAGAGGGAAACACAGGGCAAGGACGATTGTGATTCTGAACTGGACGTCAGGATGAGACACCCGGCCCGTGTCATCCGGCAGAGAGCAGGGGTGTCGCACCACACCCACCTATTTCAACTGCAGCCCCAAAGCATGCTGGGTATCTGGGAAGCTTAAGAACTGATCTGTGGTTAAAGAGATGCATGCAGAGTCAGAGGAGGGAAAACAAGCAGCTTCTTTGAAAACAGAACACATTAAGCACAATGCTGCTGATCTAACTATCGACCCCAAAACTAAATCAAAACCGTTGTTACCATAAGCGTCGAAGAACTCCTCGTCCGAGCTGTCTTCGGAGTCTCGCGCTATGCTCTGCATCCTCCACTCTGAGATGCTGTGACGTGATGGGCTCACTGAAAGACCACATGAAGAAAAAAAAAATCACTGTTACTCTGGGACATGTGTTTCAGAGTCTCTCTTTTCCTTTTTAACACATTCACTCAAACACACACAAAAAACATTGCACAATCTCCTCCAGCCCACACACCCACAGTGTTATATAAACATGCAACAGTCTCAGTGGTACATTAGCTCATCACAGATGGACTTTTTGGTGGTCGGGGGGGTGAAACAAGAGACCCATTGTAACACAGACAAGCTACAAACACCCCTAAAACCACCAAATGCCAGTCGAGGAAAATGGTAATCCTAAAAGAAGGCCGTGTCTATCACATGTCTTCAGTCTATGCCGAATATATTATGGGTGTGGAGGAAGTAGGGGGGGTATCGCTGTAAGGGGTAGGCTGGTGAGAGGGGGGCACAGCTGTGGCTGTCAGCGCACAGGAGGAAACAGCATTGTTGGAGAGGAGGGTCACTGCGAAGAGCCTCAGCCTCCTCTGGTGTGTGACGTCAGCACTGCTGCTAAAAATAGCCCGAGAGAACCACAGGGGTGAAACGAGGCGCGATGGTGAGAGTCAGGGTGCAGGGAGAAATCTATTAAAAGTAAATAGTCTTTTATTAAAAACAAGTGCATTAGCATCACCATTTACTTAAAGTACAAAAAGTAGCACTCATTTTTCTGCAACGGCCTATATAACAATACTAAAAATGATAATAATTGTTATGAATAATTATCCATCACTGTAAGGTTTAAGCTGGTCAATAAGGATCTTGTATTCAAATAGAATTTCAAATGTCGTCATTATTTTATTTGTTAGTATATATCGTTTAGAGTAGCTTGTGAATTCCACCAGGGAATAAAGTAAATTCTGGAATAAAACTTGATCAATTATTTATGAATTATATTTTGTATCATTTATCTGCATCTTTAAATTGACCTGAGTTATGTAATACATGTAGTGGAGTATGGAGTAACATGTTAGGTCAGGGGTGTCAAACTCAAGGCCCGGGACTTCATTTTATGTGGCCCCACAAGAGCTTGCAAAGAATATATTATGTTTATTATACGGTTACATACCGATTTACAGAAGCACCTATAAACTACATGTCCCACAATGCATCTCAAATATGCNAATTCTGTAATAAAACTTGATCAATTATTTATGAATTATATTTTGTATCATTTATCTGCATCTTTAAATTGACCTGAGTCATGTAATACATGTAGTGGAGTATGGAGTAACATGTTAGGTCAGGGGTGTCAAACTCAAGGCCCCGGGGCCAGATCCGGCTCGCGACTTCATTTTATGCGGCCCCACAAGAGCTTGCAAAGAATATNTGTGCAATGTTCCAAACTTACATTGGTTTCTCATACAGCATCTCTGTATAGTATGTGTATTCACTCTCTGTCCTAAACGGCTTGTTGGAGCTCCTGCCCCCCACCCTCCCTGTGAGCCCAGTGGCCGTCTGCGAGACAGCGAGACACAGCGAAACCCAGCCCGAGCACGCACGCACGCACGCACGCACGCACGCACACGCACACGCACACACACACACACACACACACACACACACACACACACACACACACACACACACACGCAGACACAGACACAGACACAGACAGACCTGCAGCCTGGCTGTGAGTCTGAAAACAGAAAACTTAGATGTCTATATATAAGCTTCTGCAGTGACGTGCAGTGAGGTTCATGGCTGGTGAGGCACTGGCACTGAGTGCCAGTGCCTCACCAGCCATGAACCTCACTGCACGTCACTGCAGAAGCTTATATATAGACATCTAAGTTTTCTGTTTTCAGACTCACAGCCAGGCTNAATAATTGCAAGTCTCTTCAGTGAGAATGTCACAAAATGATTTAAAAAGAAAAGCCAAATTCTGGAGAAAAAAATCAAAAACNAGACTTCTGCTTTCAGACGTAGTTAATTATGAACTGATTACCCTATCCGATAATAATCCAATGCAGAGGCAATAATGTAATATAATACATTATTTTATATATATTCAATATTTATATATGTATTTTTATATACTCTTAAAGTTACAACCGGCCCTTTAAGTGCAACCATAATGCGAATGTGGCCCGAGATGAAATTGAGTTTGACACCCAGAACAAAAAGCACCTAAAATGTGCACTAGAGTACAGTCCTGGAGTATTTGCACAGGGGTAAAACGAGGATGAGAGTCAGGGAGGTAGGGGTGACACTAGAGATGGCTGTGATTCGGTCATGTGGTTTGTGATGTAAAAGTCGCTGCTAAAAATAACCCAGGTGGGATCCGCTGAGTTCTGGGTTGAGGAGAGGAAAGTCGGATAGTGCGGCAAATGTGGAGGCATCATTCAAAACAGTAAAAACATCACGTTCTGGACCCAAAACAAAGCTTGGCATACGAGCAGAGACTACAAACTAAGAAGCTGATCCCGAGTCCTGAGGAGTTTGAACAACGAATCAGAGCTCTTTATTGGGCTTGGGAGCAGCTTCAGTGTGTATACAAGCTGAACCACAGAAGACAAAATAGATGTGGTTGTCCATTGTAAAAGTTAAGCGTTTGAAAAATAATGAGAAATGTTCAGGTTGCCATGGCATTTCTTACTAGACTGCTTATATCTTTTAAAAATATCTGCTGTCTTTTGGAAAAGATGAACCAATCAACCCAACTAATGTCAATTCACTTTTTTTATGGCGCTAAGAGTTTAGACAATAGACTGTATATAGTCTAGCAAAAAATGTTGCCATAGGAATCCATTGTAACACGCATTAATTCAAGCTTATAGGAGAGTGAGTGTTTGAAGCTAAAAACGTTCTAATTTTGTGAGGATTAGCAATTTACTACATGGAACAATGACACATAAAAAACAAATCATACAAACAAAAAAAGTGCTACTTTTCACACATTAGACGATTAACCCTGTTGAATTCTTCACATACCAGCTGCCAGCGTGGACTCAAACATCACAACTTTCTGTGTTTTTCTTAAGGAACTGTTTGACTTTGTTGTGAGCATACCTCAACCTTTAAGTTGGAAAGGAGTCGGGTGGCAGACTGAACGTATGAAAGGTGTGATGAGGTGTAATTTTAAATGTGATAATGTCTCAGGGCTGTGTAGTCTCACACACAGAAGTGAGAAAAGAAGATGGCCTCACCTCCTCTCTTGGATGAGCGGGAGGATCTGGAGGAAGTGGACCACTGCTTGGTGAGAACGCCTCGGGGCTGCAGAGTCTCTCCTCCTGAGCTCACCACCACCTCCTCCGCTTCGATGGAGCTGATGGCCTCTTTAGCCTCCTGCTCTTTGTCTGGAGACGGCGCCCCCCCGTTGGCCTCGGCGGCCTCCTCAGCCTGACTGAACTGGGCCATCTTGGTGGCGAGGGCCAGCTGTGTCTCCAGCTCCAGCTGCCGGATGTCCTCCATCGTCAGACCGTACCACTCGTCCTGCCAGCACCAGGCCTGCCGGTGGGCGCGCGCCATCACCTTCCTCAGTCCTGGGGAGAAGAGACGGAGAAGATTAGACACCTGCTTTTTCTTTCTTTTGTAATACAAACGTTTAGATTCAAACAGTGAAATACTGGCGTTACACTGCACTCAGTTTCCTACACAAATATATTTTGTGTAAATATTGTCATTATTTTTACAAAGTCTTAGCTTTTATAATTGTACTATTTTATTTGTTTGGTTATGTATTCTTCTTTCTGTCTCTCTGTATCACTAATGTGTGTCAAGAAACATTCCCAAGGAGTATAATAATATAACATAATATATATGTATTTAAAAATAAGAGCATCTCATAGAAGCCAAATATAAAATAAAATGTACCAGAACATTTTACCCAATTATTCCACTCTGGACTACAGCCACAACATTCAGGAAAGATTATTTGAATGACAGATGTTCTGTAGGTGGAGCACGGAACGTAAACAGTAGTACTGTACTTTATGTTCACTTAACATTTGAGTAATGGTGCAGCCCTCGTGCATACTCACCAACATCATGGATGAAGCGCTCGATCTTTGACTGCATGCCCCAGTAGCGAAACTCCACCTTGCAGAGTTTGTAGGCACACATGATGGGGCTCATCCCTGGGTTGTTGTTGTACTCTTCTATCCAGTCGTCCAGCAGAGGACCCCTCTGGGTCTTGGCTGAGTGGTAGAGCCGTGTGTCCTCCTCTGCTTTGTACTCATGGGGGGGGATGGGATCTGTCACTATGTCAATTGGGTCTGGCAAAGATACAAAACTAAATGATTAATGGAGACTGGTATTTTGGTTATATTGCCTCAATTATGCTACACATTCTGCTAGATAGGGAAGTAAAACTTAAAGAAATGTTCTGAATAAATAATTCCAATCTAAATAGAATCTGGCTGTCCTTTGAGTATCTTCAGAAAAACATTTGTAGTACCAGTACATTGCCACAAGTGGGCTTCACATGCTCCTGATGGGAATACCAATATAAAGACACATCATCAAACTATATCTACCATTACTAACCTTAGATACCTATTGCAAGAAAAGGTCATTACTTGCTTTGCTGGTTCTATAGTATAGATATACTGCACACATATTGAGATTGCTATTTGTGGATAGTTGAAGCAGCATGATACACATCAATTCATATTTTTAAATATGAGTTTATGTTATTGTTAAGGCTCAGGATCAATACCAAACTGTCTCACCAATACTCCTCTGCCTCCTTTCTACTGCAGACATGTTGAAGACATCGGCTTGGTTGCCTGTGTCTGGTTTGTAGTAGGTCTCAATGTCAATGGAGAACTTCTCAACAAAGGGGCAAGTGTATCTGAAAGAGCAGAGGCAACATAATCAATTAAAACACAGAACAAATGTCCCAATAAGGCTTGATTACATTATAGGTTGATAGCTGCCTTGATTATGACACTTGCTTCTCATCTCAATGGCTCAAGATCAGGACTATGTTTTTACGAGTGCCAACACCCTCTCACTGCTGAGGGTAGGAAATGTGTGAGCCATGCCCATCTGTTGTATCTGAGGCAAAGCTGTCACTGTTTGAATAGATGTGTCAACAGGCACTTGCAGTCTATCAATATCCTGACACGATAGTCAAGGGTGCATCTCTGTTCAGCACCTTCCTGTCGGTGTGTTTGTCTGAACCATCACAGACAAACACTGACACCCTGAGAGTGAGGGGGCCATCCACTTCTAACAGCCTGTAAGCAAGGCTGGACACACACAGCAATCTGAAGGTCTTTTTAGAAATCTTCAGACAACTTGAGGTCTTTACTCTATCTGTATTTCACTGAGCGACAGCAGCTACAGTAGAACTCGTGTCACATAGCCTCTTACCACTCAGGGGATTTTACATGTGATAAACTGAATGTAAGCGTGCTTTAATTGTATCCCCTTTTTTGCATGCCTTTACATTGAATGAATTATCCAGAACAAAGAAAAGCCAAGATGAATTGAACTAAATGGGGGCAACTTTTAACACCCAAAAACTATATTTGAGTTTTTAAACACTCATACAACTTGCGCAGACTCATTAATCCATTTGTATGCTCGCTACTTTCAAAACACATGCATTTCTGCTCAAACTTACTTTTAAAACAAGCTGTTTATGTGGAATAGTGATATTGTAAGCTTGTTCTGAAAATGCATGTATTGAGGAAATAGTGAGCATACAAATTCGACTATACTCAGTGTTTCCGCCAGACCAGGGCTGAGAGGGCGTCCACCCCGGGGGACGTGACGTGACTTGAATTTTGAATTGAGCCGACCCTTATCGACACTATCGCTTTACGTATACACACACACACACAATTTTGAAATGCGCCGTCCCTTATTCTATCTCTTTACGTCTCCCTGACGGCAGGGACAACCCTCCTGGCATGGTCCTTGGAAGATGCGGCGGTGTTTTGTTTTTTTTGTCACAGGAACGCGCTTTGCTGGCGACGAAAATAATCCCACCAGACTCCTTTGCCCCTCCAACAGAGGGATGTCCTTTTTCCTTATCGTCATTTCAAATGATAAAAACTCGATCTTCTCTCTAATTATTTATTTTTTTGGACGCCCTCGGCTCGAGTTCAGGGCGTTCCGAGCTGAATAAGGAAAACGCTGACTATACTGCACGAGTGTGTGAGAGATAACTGATGTTTTGATATAGCTTTGCCGTAGTTAAACGTGGACTCATGGAATCATTTACTTGATTTACTTTCGTTCAAGGTGGAGGCATCCAAGAAAAACAAAAGGACACCAGGACTTGGCGTGGGTTACAGAAATAACAACAGAATGAAAAATGTAATTTCCCCAAGGGGAGGATTAAAGTGCATTATTATTATTATTATTATTATTATTATTATTATGGGATGAGTAATTGATGTACATATGGTCATTTTGTGTGAAAGTATGTCTTAAAATGTGTGTGTAAATCTACCAGCTGCAGCATTCAGACACCCATGCACAGAGATTTTCTTGGCGTTGGCAGAGTTTTAATGCTCTCTCAATCCGGCTTTGAAGAGGTGTGTGGAGGGTTCCTGAAAGCTCACCTGGTGCGGGTGTAAGGGTAGGCGTTCCAGGACTCCTCTTCCACCCTCAGTGCTGCTTTGGGCAATATGGAGCGGAACCAGCTGGGAATGTGCATGCCAATGTGGTAAACTTTGTGGGTGTACTGGCCCGTCCCACCCGGCCCATCTGTGTAGGGTTTATTCTCCAGGATCTCCACCCCGCTGCCCTCACCACAGCTCTCTTCTCGGCTCTTTTTCTGTAACAAGCAAAATGAAATCAAGTAAAACATCCGATTTTTGGATAATTGGGGATTTGGGATAATAAGTACACAATTCAGCTAAATAAATAACATCGGTTTAGATGTTTGTAGATATTTTAGACATATTGTTTCTTTGAATTTGTGAATAGATATTCTACGCTTATATTCAAAGTGTAAAAAGGAACTGAAACAAACAAATGAATGGACATGGTGTCTTTTTGCAAATGAAAACATGACGCAAGATGTGATTTCCTGAAAGATCTACAAGCTATGAATTGCAAATCAGGAAGCCCAAAACCAGCTCGTGGAGCCACACCTTTCCCATATTTACATTCCAGGTGCACACAGGAAGAGAGGCTGGGTGGAGCCTGCACGTGCAGTTTAGTAGACCTACAGCTAGGTGACTCAAAGCCTTAAAGACAGGAATGTGTGACATGGCAAGTGTAAGATTTGTGGTGGTTATGAAACCAGAAAAAAAGGATACTTGGACAGCTGGGCATAGTCCAAGTGCTGACGGTATGGAAATCACAGGGAGCAAAGAGCGAGGACCATAAATGTCAGAAGGTTTCATCTTTCGTATTTCTTTCATCAGTCGCTGTTCAGTCTGAACACAGTGCAGTGCAGCGCTGGGTAAATAGGGAGACAGATTCCTCCAGTCTGTCCACGGGGGAGAGGCGATGGAGGCAGTGAGTCAGTGGAGTGGGGAGGAGGAAGCCATGAAGCATCCATCGCTCCGGACCTCATTACCTCTGACAGGTCATTCATTAGCCACCCGCTCTGCTCTCAACAGCCCAGACACTGCTCCGAAGACACAGCACAGGCGCCACGGCAACATCAGAACACCAGACAGGAACCAAACGTCCAAACACAATTTGAATAAAATGTCAAATTGAGTTGACTGTATGGAGCGAAATGCTTAAAAAATGCACCAAGCTGTGTAGACACAAATCTAAAACAAAATATGTGTACAAGTTACTTGTGCCATTTAGTTTTTTTTAATTGCCGTTCCTCATTTTAAGCCATGGATGTGTACTTATTTGTATTCTATTACTACTAATGTGTGCTTTTGTTCTCTATATTTCATAAATTAGCTTTCTCTTTATTATTGGATGTCTTTTGACCTGCTATGCCAGTCACTGTAAACGTCTCCGCTGCGGGACAAATAAAGGAATTCGGATAACCAAAGAGTATACCAATAACACAATAAATCATGTCTATCCACTCGCACAGATAACTAACAGTTGGCCTTTCAATTAGACTCACAATAAGGTCAGTGCTATATTGTGAGTACCAGTATTATTATATTTGGCAAGATTTATTGCTGTTGAGTTTTCCAAATGTAATTATTTTCATTGCATACAGACGGTTCAAAATGTTTTCAAAGTATGTCCTGATGTTAGGTCAGCCGTCTAGGTAAAGGGGAGAATGGAAATCATTGTGTTTTGTTGTTGTCTGTCTCTATAATTAGGTTGCGGCTGACGGGTAACAGCAGCCTGCCAAACGCAGTTGTCTATTCTTCTCCCTCCTGGAGTAACGCATGCTTCTCTCCAGTTCAGCGGGGGAACGATTAAAAAACATTGAGCAGGGCTCGGCCGTTCCCGTAGTAAATAATAAGAGAAGAGCGGGAGTAGATAATATGATTTAAAGAGAATTAACACTGAAATGTATTTGAGATTCTTGATGAAAACAGTGTGTGTGTGTTATACCTGTTGGGAAAAGAATGATGTAATGGTTTTTAAGAGTCTCTGGTAGCGTCGACTGTCTCTCGTCTACACCACTCTACTGTAAAATCATTTTTGGCTCAGTTCACAAAGACAAACTGCCGCTGCGTTGTGACGTGAAGTCATGCCCTTAAATCTTTGCCACATCTCGCCCACCTTTCTTTAAACAGACATCAAACCAAATAAAAGCCATCATGTGTTATGTGTTTAGATCCCATAGCGTTAACAGGACGGGAGTCACATCCTGGTTATTTTGTTCCCTTCTTGCGTCAACTAAGTGAGGAGTGTTTCCTGTTTGAGATGCTTCTTTGCACTTCACTCCACAGATACAGTTGCTTAGTCAGAATGATGGAGGGATGATTGAGACACAGTGAGATCTTCTCATTTCATTTCTCACACATTCCGCGTTCGCTTCATGCATTTTCCGCAAATCCCTATGTGGTGATAATGAATTTGCAATTAGCTCTCAGATAAGAAGGCGGCGCTGTAAGGGCAGAGGAGAGGAAGTGAGAGGAGAGAAGGGGCTCTGAGGCCGAGCTGCAGATATGTCCAGGCTGTCCTGAGGCCTGGACTTCATCTGTGACATCTCTACACAGGGGATGGATCGCAGGCAGGCGGGCCTTCATGGTGCAGTTGCCCTGGTAACATACAGCAATGAAGCGAAGGGTACCCACAGACGCCAGCAAAATCCTCTCTGCTCAAAATACAGCTCTCTCTCTCTCTCTCTCTGTTTTACTTCCACCCCCTCCCTCCTTCGCAACCTCTCTTTTTATCCTCCATTTCCTCTTTTCATTCACTCCCTCTCTCGAACAAAACCTGACCACCGGCACGCTGATGATGTCACGGTTGCCATGGTGACGGAAGCCTTGCAGCAACAGGGCTGTGTGGAGAGGGTGAGGTCCGGGGGAAAGGTAACTATGGGTCACTAATGAAACAATTTATCTCCCTATCATTTGATTACATGTTTGAGAATGCACATGGGCATCTGCAGTGACTTTGGCATGCAAAACAAGAAATGTTAAAGTTACAGTTTCACGTGATCAGTAGCTCTCCTCAATACCCTGAGTTTATGTGCCAATTAAGTGTGTGGAAGTTTTGGAAGCAGATTGTGCCGCCTTGAAACGCCTGCTTGCTCCAGTGAACGATTGCTGAGTCATGTTCTCTACCATCTACAGCTCAACTGGATTACCGGTCTGTTTTGTACACCAGGGGGAGAGGATAAAAAGAAGAACACCAGGAAAACTTGTTAATTGAAAAGTCTGAAATTCCTTAAGAGAACAATATGTCCTAATTATATAATATTATTTTCATTTTTGCAAACAGGACAGAGAAATGTCTACATAAGGATAAACTGTTACTACGGCTTGAGGTTAATATTCAGACACTGACATATAACCGGTTTTCATAGAGAGAAAAAGGAGAGGCTGTCTGCAGCGTGCACTGTAGTATTGTTACAATAGTGGGTGGATATTTATTTTAGACTTCTTTGTCAACATAAACAATAATTAATTTGGGTGTAAGATAAACAGTTGTAGGAGGGGCATCTCTTTAACAGCTTGAAGGCATGCTGGGGCTTCCTTATGCAAGGCCTAAAGGTTTAACTTGGATACAACATAGTGCATATGTTGCTTTGTATGGCCTGTAAAGAGACGTTCCCTAACCCAACATACATTTCCAGATTTAGGATTTTTACATAACACTGCACTATGGATATTTTACTCACTTCTAATGCATCTTATTTCCTCATGAAAGCACGCCTCATTTGACACAAGATCACTGAAGAAGCAAGACACACACACTGAACCATGTGAAACGCCGGATTAAAGAGGCCTTTACCTTCAACCTGCTCTTCAAACAACATTACACCCCTTGTGATACAGATTACATAACCATGCAACTCAAATCCCAGCACAACTGCTGAATGCTTAGTGCCAAGATAAGCATAGGCCTCAAAGCGATAAATATGTAAAGTGCCCCTCCAGACATGTTTTAGTATGTTAAAAATATTCTTCAATAATGTATAATTTGCCTAACATAAAAAATTTGAAAGAAAACACAGCAAGGAGGATACAAGAATGTTTACTCTCTCTTTCTCCAACAGATTCTGGATCTGGCTTCACCACGCCTAGTGCTGCTCACGGCACGCTACGTTGAGCAATTTGCAACTGGCCCCGGAGCTCGCGAGCAATGAGTTTCGACATCTGGTCTATTCTCTTTTTTTTTATAATGACCTGTAACTTGCACTGGCTGACAGAGCATTAGTGGTTGTGAAAAGTAATGCTACAATAATATCTAGAAGAATTTGATATAAGCTCGAGGGTCCGGTTTGCATCCAAAACGGCACAATCTATTGTGGTTACTGTCAAAACTGTCCCTATGCTAATGCAACTCTCTCACTCTGCACTCAGAACTCCGCTCTGTGCTGGAGGTTTCAGGTTTCTTTGCCTTGTGTTGATATTTGAAAACATGTGGGTTTCAAACAATCATTAGCGGTTTTAGGATTTGTGACATAATCTGATTTGACACAGGTATGTGTGACCCCGTGACTGCTCTCCATGCCTCTGCTGTGTACTGTTGTGCTCACAGTGCACCTGGCTGTACCACTGAGTTAAATAAATCTTCCTCCACTTAAACATGTCATATGAAGAGAAAATATGTCACCACACAGGATAACTAAAGCTGTATAAATCACCCGTTCCTGCTTGGAGCTGTAAACCTTAAAGCGCTTACACAGACTCCCAGTCTCCAGCTAAGGGCCCTGCTAAGACAAATGAAACTGACTGTCATAGACAAGGCAGTATATCCATCTCCATCACTGACGGATGTGTGTGCAACGAGATGGCAGTGAAAGCAAAAGTGCATCGACCCCGTCTCCTGGAGAAACGTATGTGGAAACAACCAGGCTCAGAGAGTTTAAATTAGTTAATCTATCAGCACACAAGCCCTCTTTGTTCCATTACACTGACGCAAGACCGTGTGACCACTCATTTCATAATTGTGCATGCTGCTATCTCACTCCCCGTTAAGTTCTCTCCCCTCCCACTGCTTTGTTTTTGTGAACTGGTTTAATTGCCAGGTGTGTGGGTAAAAAAAGTGATATATTTAGGGTTGTGACCTCACCTGGATCATGTAGAGCTGAGCGATGCGGTACTCCTCCACACTCATGGGCATGGGGATGCGGTACTCCTTGATAAGCATGGTGAATTTTGGAGGAGGGGGATAGAGGGATCGGGGAGAAGATTGACAAGGGAAGGGGGGAGGGAGGGGCAGAGGGAAGGGAGGGGGAGAGGAGACAGGAGAGACTCGGAGGGGATCCTATAGGTGACTTGTCAAATCACCAGCTGAAGACCACATTGACGGTTCCTGTGAAGGAAGACACAAATAAAAGCACGAGGTAAGTAAGCTGTGAATGAGAATTTAATGAAATGCCTTCAGGCATCCAGGTAGCAGTGTTAAATCAGTAAAAAAGTTAACAGCTCATGAAACAAGTCTTCATCAACCTCACTCTAAACCAGCAACATAAAACATTCCTCACAAGCAAAAGATAACAACACACAGACAACATTCCAGAAGCTGAGAAATTCCTCTACACATAACCGAGGACATAGATAAATCCTTGTGTCTCACACTCAGATGAAGAAGAGAGGAGATCCAGAGAGTCGTTCAGGACATACAGTTTGATGCTCAGTGTAGTTTAGTCCGAGCGCAGGCACAAATGGCGAGCATCAGCAATGTGCCTCCATCCAGCGTCTCAGATCCAAGTAAGAGATTTTACAGGATACACTTCGGTTCTTATACACAGGCCTCAGTGTGTGTGTGTGTGTGTGTGTGTGTGTGTGTGTGTGTGTGTGTGTGTGTGTGTGTGTGTGTGTGTGTGTGTGTGTGTGTGTGTGTGTGTGTGTGTGTGTGGGGGAGGGGGCAGGTGGCCAGAGTCTACGGAGAGCACCCGTAAAGCCAGTAGTAGCCGTAGAACAGCCACCCCGTTTCTCCCAACCCTTCAGCACCATCACATGGGGGGCTCACTCAGCATAAGAGGGATTACAGTTCAGTTGGGAGCATTACATAACATTGAAAGAGCTCCCTGTGCGTGAGGTTTCAGAAATAGCAGCCTTTAGAATTATACGAAGCGTTGTTTTCAAACCAGTGGGCAGATAGGGGTAGGTGTGGGCTATACATAACCAGTGTGTGGGTGGCGTGAGTTGCAGAAGTTTGCTTGGGACCGCTAAGAGAAGAACTGATTCAGAGCCAAGTGAGTACAAAACAAGACCAGGGCTGAAGGCAATGTCAGCTAAGGTGACACGTTAACTAAAGAGGAGTCAACAAGGAAAGGGAGACTGCATATCTGTCAAATTGAGTGATGACTTGTGACTTTTTGTAAGAAGAGATACAAACATTTCCAGTCCAAGAAGTTTTTGACAACAGATTGTGTTTTTTTCCCCCCACACCTTAATATGTCAACAAAGACGGTAGGAGTCTAGCTGAGGAAGGGATTGTTCTGTCTGTGATCAGATACGACTGGTGAAAATATCCAATTACATTGTCATCACAGGGATGATTCAAAAAGTTGTATATTGCGCTGCCCTGGTGGACAAGATCTTAGTCACCATGCTAATGAGACTGTATTATTCTGTGCCTGCATTTGGCCATTCAAATGTGACTAGACAGGATTGCATAACCCCGATGTTCACTTTTTTTCTGACCTATGGCAGCAAGTGGACTTTCCTCTGGTTTGGAACTGAGCCATTCCGTCTAAACACACTTATATTCCTTCTGCGTCATTCATCCAGCAGACAAAGGCCAGCTTTGGGGAGGTTCCAGATGTCGGCAAAGGGCTCCGGTCCACCAGCTATTCAATGCTCGCCTCTACAACACCTCGCTGTAGCCTGAAGAACTTCTAAACCTGGAGCAGGGGCTTTCTAACAGCATGGGAGGTGTTCTGGTTAAATGAGTAACATTGTCTTCTTTGCATTTTTATAATATATATAATATCTTTGCTCTACACAGAAGAACACTTTGACAAAATCAGAGGACAAGAGAAGCGTTCTGCTGAATATAACTATACTCTTGGGATGGACTGGGATAGAACTAGGTTATCCTCGAGAGGCCCAGAGTAAAGCCTCGAGAAGTCAGTGCCAGGCTTTAGAGGGGAAGGTCACTTTGCTCATTCTGGTTGAAAGTGTCGGTGACAAACAGCTTTATAATCTACTTGAAGCATGGTTGGAATGTGGGTTGCAACTGATGCTGCAACAAACTTCTGAGAATTTCTTCTTGGCCAGCGATCCTGGATGTGACAGCTGTACCGATTTGGACACAGTAAAACAGATTATGTTAATGTCCGATTATCTGATGGAGAATGATTACTGTGAAAATCAAAGTCCAGCCAGCTGCCGTCAACTGGTAACAGACATTCAAGGAACTGAAACCAGGTATGTACAGAAAGGCAAACAGAGAGAGGGACAGGCAGCATAACAGGGGGAAACCCCGCAGTCACAACATGTGTGGTGACTTCACTTTGAATGGGGTGACGTCAGGCTTTGCCGAACTGCATTGTGGTTCCGTCGCGTCGCTTTGCCTCCGTTGCTCGCATCGAAAGTTGCGAAAAGTTCAACTTTTCAAGCTTCGACGGAAGAGCCAGCCAATCAAATCATATGCCAGTACAAGCTCTAGCCAATTAAACCGCGTGCTTGTGTGTCTGGGACGGGAGATTAATGTGATTGGTTGTTGGCCGCGCTCCACCGGCAAGCTTCAACGCACGCTGCCGTGTGGACGTACCGTAAGTGGCACAGCAATACAATCTGCATGTGTGTATAGAATTATTTTGGATTTATTCCAAATATTGATTTAGTTATAAGCAAAATGGTGTTTCAATTTGTTGTTTCACACATGCATGGACGACACACGCAAACACACACAAAAACTATTTTGATAACTTATTCGACGTAATAAGTAATTTTTTTATTCAAAATGACAAAAAATATGGTTTTCAGCATCTGATGAAAATGTGCTGCTTTCACCCGTTTCATTTTCATTAAACGGTTTATATTTGGGTTTTGAAACTACAGAACAAAACATGTAAGAAGACATCACCTTGGTCATTGAGAAACTCCCTCAGTATTGTCTGAAATGTTATCGACAACACGATTAATCAATTCATCTAGAAATGAAGAGAAAGATAAAGAAATATTTCTGCAGGCCAAACATATAAACAAGCGTGCACATATTCAATATACACAAACTTAGTATATAAATACACAAGTTTTGTTTCAGCTGAGTTTATAGTTGTAGTGTATCTCTCTATTCTGGAAGCAACAAATAAAGACAGACACACCCAAACACGCTCCCACACTAAAGTGTTTGTCACACATTTCTGCGTTCTGTGTGTATTTATCAGTGTGTGCCGGATACTAATATAGCACAAACATCTGTATGCAATGTGGCTTTCGATTTAGAAGGTATTCTTTTTTCCTTTAACGATACGCTTCAGTTTAATGAGGCCTTTCTGAATGAATAATTTGAGTGGTTGAGATTATTTTTCAGTTGATTAATTGTTGGTTGCAGACACAGGCCTATCCTAAAGCGGCTATTACGCCCTCTGTCTCTCTGACTCTTTCCTTTGTGACTGATGCAGATGCTGAGCACAGCAGAGGACCTGTAATGCAGGATCCACCAGCAGCCCTGAGAGAGAGAGAGAGAGAGATAGAGAGAGAGAACTGGCACCGTACTTGACCCAGAAAAAAGGCACTCACACACACACTGCTTAAAAATAGCCTGGTCACAATAATCCTAGCATACGCAAGCAGAGTGCTTGACGTGGTTTGTTCGGAGAATATGCTCATTCCCTTCTAAAAATATAGTCTCTGCCCCCCTATTGGCAATGACGCAACAGTAGCACCCTCCACAGCACTCAGCACAAAGCAGCCTCCAATGTTCCCGCTTCACAAAACTGAAGACAACAAAGCTACAAAACACTTTTAGTATGACTGTGTTTGTGCCTATACCCACCACTGGTTTTTCAGCCTGTTAAACGTGGGGCCAGCTGTGGAAGGACTGTGCACCCTGAGCTGAATAATGTTGCAAATACCTCATCCGCGACCCTTTCAGAAGGTGTGACCAACCATCAGAGGTACATAATGCTCCAGGAAACAGTAGGAAACCACATCATTCCCTCGTATTAAACCGCTATAAGTATGAAGCCTGTAAGCACAGTTACATCTGTGTGACTTCTGGAGCCGGCATAAACAAACAAGCGCTCAAATATGTGCACATCTGCTCACCTCTCGCAGGGATGAAACGTGCTTACTCTAAATTAAAGGATGGATTATGCGTCATAAACCAGAGGCTCATGCTAACGTCTAAACATAAACACATTACATATGACAAATGTTTTATGTATATGGTACACTATGTTTATATAATTCGTAGTTCGGTATATGAGAGAGTATTTTTATTCTGTATATTATAATGTATAGTGTAGTCTATCTATCTGAAGGGGCACCATTTAGCAGACAGGTTGATCATGGGACAGAGAGCAACAGCTGAGCATGGCTCTCGACACAAAGTAGAACACTGGATAGGAGAAGTTACCCCATAGGCTTTTTAACCCAAAGGCCGCAATGGTGTGCTCCTTTAAATGTAGCCCCGTGTTACAGAGCAAGGCTTAGAGGCAGAGCAAACAAGGTGAATCCCAGAGGAGCAGGGGGGGGGGGGGGGCAGGAGTTCCCTCATGACTGACCCAAGGCAAGTCCCCATTTAAATTCAAGTGGAAAATGTTACCCCTGGGCTGCCTCCCATACCATAGATCACTTTCATTCAGCGTCGCCTTGACATTACAGAGACAACTTCAGCTATGACAACCGCCACAAACACAGCCTTCTGCCCGCGGCAAGAAGCCCTCGATTGAGTTGATGGGCTTATCCACCAATCCAGTTAATATGTCAAAAGGCTTAAGACAATGTTGTTAATGCTGGACTGAGCGCTGATCTGCCAGAGCGAGGGAGCTCACCATCCACCTGCAGTCCCCAAAGAGGCAATTACTCTTTTCTTTAAAGCAAAATTTAAAAAGATCAGACTGCTCTTTTCAATCTATGAAGGGCAACATATGAAGTATCTTTTTTCAGTATATGGATATTTATATAAAGTGTGTGACACAGATTACAAAGTTGATTTACAAAACCTGCCGTACTGAAAACCTCACCGCCAGTCTTTCCCAAATGTAAGGTCAGGACCCAGGATCAGAACATTGCTCTGAATACATTTACCTAATCAAGTTCAATCAAAGTGGTTTTTTGCTACGCTGCACTTCACGGTTCAGATCCTGTGTGTGGTGCCGTTTGTAACAGTTGTTATATTTAATTGAAATGTTC